GCCCATGGGCAGCGCGGTGCTGCCCCCGTGCGCCTTCGCTTTCCCGTGGTGCCCATCCCCATGTCCCTGGCTTGGGACAGGGTACTTGTCCGCCCCTGGGGGTGTGGGAATCCGGTGCTCCCGGTCCCGGGGCACAAAACTGGGAACCCACTATGGTCCCAGCATTGTCCGCATGCCCTAGATCCTGCAGGAGGTGTCTGTCTTTCCCCAGTGGGACGTGGGAACCACACATCGTGGATGTAACCGTGCTATGCCCCTGCCAGTCTCCTGCACCACTGGCGCAGCCTCTGTGCACACCCATCCAATGCATTGTGGCTGAGCAACATCTTCCCCTCATCTGTCGGATGTCTTCCCCTTGTTTTGTGACTTTTTGAAGCACTGTGCACACCCCCGCTGGATAAAGTGTGTGTCCCCTCTCCTGTTATACTGGTGCTGCTAGTTCCACTTCCTCTCTCATGCACACAGGTTTCCAGCACGGAGGAGGCATGTGAGTGCTTGCTTCCACCCCTGGCTGTGCTCCACACCCTCTCTGTGCAGAGAACAAGTACCAGCCAGCTGTGGGAGCCTTTCTCTACAGATGTGCAACCCCTGAAGTGGTGTGGTGAATGGGTCCTAGAGCCTCCTCGTCTCTGTTCCAGTGAACCAGGCACAGCTTTTCTCACCACGTCTCTGCTACCAGTGACTGGTGGGGGAAATAAATATACTGGGATGAGGGGGAACTTTGGACACAAAGATGCACCATCAGCTCACTGCCCTTGCCTGCCTTGCCAAAGATGTTGGCGTGAGGTCTTCCCTCTCCTCTGAGAAGGTGCATGGGGATGGGGGCTAGGCATGCCCCAATTTCAGTGTGTGATTATCAGAGCAGAAAAGGAGCTGAGAGGCTTGAGCTCTGATAGGTGATGCCTGTAAAACTGCATGTTGTCTATTGGTGTTTGTCCCTCTACACGCCCTGGGCTGTACATTCTTGTCCTTGGCTTTGTTTTTATGACCTTTGCTCTCTTCAAACCTGCCAAGTTTAGATTCAGGTGTCAGTAATTTTTCCTGGTATGTGAGGTTTTTGGGGTACACTTTGCTGCTTTCTGCTGTGGAAGCATCGGGACAGGCAGCAGGCATAGATTAGCTGGTCAGGTCTGGCACAGATTCAAGGGGATTGGGCTCTGTGACAAGTTCAGGAGTAGCAGCAGCTCTGAATGAGTCACGGAAGGAAATGCCAGGGAATTTGAGCTCTGTCCAGAAAGGCTAACAGACATCCTGCTGGGGAGAGCCGATAACTTTGTCACCCTCCTGCTCTTGCCTCTCAGTCTTCATTTCTATCTCATTAGAATGGAAATAGGTTATAGTTGTTCCCATATAATGTTCTTGCTAAGTTCTGCTTGGGTAGAAATTGTTATGAATGAAGCAAGCAGGATTATTTTCCCCCTCAAATCCTTTTTTCTATCCATGGCAGCTGCCTGCTCTTCCTCTGCTTTTGTAAAAACACCCACAGGTTTCTCTGGGAATGTCTGTGTCCCTTCAGTAAGAGAGGCAGATGGAGCTGAGAGATGTGCCCTCCCCTGCCTTCAGAAACAGGTCAGATCAAATTAGCATCAGGCATCATTTGCTTTCCCAAGCTTTGGAAAGACTTCTCTCACTTTCTCTATTTCCTCCTATTCCTGAGACAAGCCATGTGCTGCAGCCTGAACTCCTCTTCAACACTGCTCAGGAAGGTCAGATGAATTCAATAAAACTGCATCTGAGTTCAGCCAATGCCAATTGCTTTAAGGGGTCTTCTGGTGCCTTCAGAGATCACGAACTTCAGCTGCACCTCACAGCCACAGAAAATACCCAGCTGAGGCTGAATGCCTTATTTTTAGCTGTTCTCACAACCCATCTGTGCTGCTGCTGCTTACATCCAAAATGCCGCTGTGCTCTACAACCCTAAATCCTCGCCACTGCTTGAAGTGGGAGCTCTGGCTCTTCATCCAGCATGCACTGGCAGGCTCCAGCCAGGTGACACCAATGCAACTTGTTGCAGTTGGAGACCTCTTCCCACCTCTCTGGCATCTTTCCATGCCAGACTAAAGGGCAAGGCACTGCATCTGCCAGTACTACAGAGGGAAGGTGGCCACTGGCCTGCCTGTCCCTTTCACTTATGGGACTGGAGCTGCTGTGAGAGGGAAGGTGTCCTTACAAGGGCTTCTTTGAGCTAGGTGAGATCAGACATGGAGGCAGGCAAGTTCTTTCTGGGATGCTGAAAGCTGCCTTGGCCAGGGGAAGAGCTGCATTTTTGTCAGTCCCACAGCAGGTTGGTTGTGGCCCAAAGAGAGTGTATGAAGGAAAGTATAAATTTCGAGGGCTCAGTTGGCTCCAGGTGTGGGAGGCTGGAGATGTGGGAGTACACAAGTCCCATACTGGTGTACCCCTGTTGCAGTCAATCCTGATATCCAGAGAGAAGAGCTAAGCCTCACACTTTCAGGAGTGACTCTAAGACTGTAAAAAAGCAACAGTGCAGCCTGGACATTTTTCCCCTCTTCTCAAATAAATTAAATCTTTCAAGTATGATGTTAACTTGGCTTCTTCTATGCTCTCTTCCTCTTTAACAGTTCCTCTCCTGGCTTCAGACAGCATCTCCTGGGTACCACTTCCTTGTAGCATTCTGGAATGCCTTTTGCCGGTAGTTTCCCATTCAGCTGAGCAAGCTCAGCTCCACCTTCTGAAGCACCCAGCACCTTTGCTCCAGGAGGGGCATCCATGCAGGATGAGACCCTTTGCACTTCATGGCTGGTTTATTTGTAACTGACTGTACAGCCTGAGACTGCCTTTTAAAGCAGCCACATCTGTGGTGTCATGCTGAGGAGGAAGGTGCCAGCAGCTCATGCTGGCATTTGCTCTGCAAAGAACATGGAAGACAAAAATGCCTTTTTTTAGGTAGATGGTGCCCCAGGGCAGTGATGGCTGCAGGGGGAGGTAGGGCCCATCTATGTGGCATTTGGGGATGTGGCAACTGTGCCTGTTTGGCAAGTGAAATGCAGCCAGACCCCCATACCACTTTTTCCATTTTTTAAGCCCCTCCTCTCTTGCAAAAATAAAGCCTGTGTGAGATCCAGCCTGACTTCTGCCTCCTTCACTCTCTGCTGCAAGTTCCGTGTTTCAGCCAGCACAGCCCCTGGCCAGCACGGACTGATTGAGGGCTGTTAGCCAGTTCTCAGCAGGCAGAGTTCGTGCCCATGATTTTGCATTAGTCAGAGCATTGTTACTCGTGCTGCAGCACAGGCCTTTTCTGGGAAGGTTTTTCTTTGTCAAGAGAGGCATGAGTGTAGCATGAGAAGAAGCACACTGATCATCTTTGCCCAGCAGCCCAGTCATAAGCATTTCCCCATGTTTGTACATCTCTGTGTGAAAATACTCGTCTGCGTTTTTCAGAGAGAAGCAGTATCCTTTTGGAATGGGCTAGGGGGAGGGGAAAAAATCAAGTTCCCAGTAATAGATAATGTTTTATGAGTGCTGCTGGCCTTTAGTAGTTGCTGGAGGATCCAGGACACGAGTACTGGGAGAAGCAGTGCAGAGCTAATTACTCAGAGGAGAAAGACTAGACAGGAGCTGTGAGCAGATGGTAAAAGAATGGCAGCACTGGGAGGCAAGACTGGTGCTGGTTTTGGTTACATGATATGAGAGCACCTATTCCTCTCCAGCAGGCATTGCTCAGAGATGCACTACTATCAAGTACTACTTTTCCCAGCCAGTGCACTTGCACATCTTCATCAGCCTGATGAAGATGATCCACCAGGACGAATGGTATCTGCTCCATAAGTGTTCAGCACAGCCCACACCTCCCTGGCGAGGCCTGTGGCTGAAGCTCTGCATATCACATGAAATATGCAGCAATGAGACACTAAGAAGAAGGGGCTGAGGAGGCAGGATCTCACCAGGGCTCAGCCATCAGCTTTCTCCCTCATTGTTTTTACTTGCAGGATGCTATGGTCAGTCCAGGGAAGTGAGTACACCACACACAAGGGGTTTTAGATTTATTAAATGTAACCTGCTCATAGCCACCTTCTACAGGCAGATCGTCTCTCCCCTCACCTCTTCAGGGGTCTTCAGACACCAGTTTGCAAACCCATGTTCTGATATCACTGGGAAAGGTCCACCAAGAGACATGTCAGAAGCTGACAGCAGAAGCCACATGCTAAACAACTACAGCAGAATCTGTCTGCATGGAAGCTCCCCAGATTTTAGAAACTGGATCATTTCTATCCACCCAAACTACTTTAAAGTCTAGAAGGAAATGTAGAACAAAGAGTGTATCACTGCATAAAACCATGCTGCACCCCTCCTGAAGGACATATGGCTGAAGCCATATGATTATATGTTTCATATGATAGATGGAAGTTTATAGCACAAAACCACAAGTTTGTAGCAGTGTTGCTACAGCATCACTTTCTACTTACAGGTACTCACTCATAGGTCTGGGATTACTCCTACTGTGGGTCTGCCTGGCATGGGTCAGCAGCTCTTGTGGCTATTTCTAGGTGTCCTTCCACTTCCTCCTACTTGTCTTTGGCAACATGCTCTTAATTTCTTGGGTTTGGTGGAAACAGACTTGAGAAGGATCATGGCTGGATTCCTGGGTATGGTTGCAGCTGTTCTTCTTTGCAGGTGCATTCTAGCAGCCATCAGCTTCTTTTGGGAGCAGAGCTTCACCCAGCACATTGCAGGTCTGCTCTTCCTGACTCTGGTGGTGTGTCTCCCCCTACTCCTCTGGGCTGCTCTACAATTTCATGAATTCCTGTGAGGCTTTGGCCTTTGTGTAATGAGTTGGGCAGTTAGGGCCCCTGGACTGTACCAGGAACTCTTGCATGGCTAAGGTGGGAGCTGCACTGACTGTACCAGGATTCCTGTTGCCTGGCCAAGGTAGGGAATGAGAGGGGGAATAATCACTCATCGTCTGACAGCCTTGGGACATTACTTGCTTGAACTGCATCCCGAGTGGAATGGTACCATTGTTGTTGCACTTTTGAAAATTCCAGTAATGACTGACCTGGATTGTGTCCAGGATTGAAATTTACCAAAATAAAGCCAACAATCTTGTGACCCTATAAACAGCAGTCCTAAGTGAGGACCTTTGAGCTCTCCTGGACTGCAGTGGGCTGTGACCATCATCTTTCTCCAAGTGAGATGCCTCTCAGCGCTTGCAAACCCTCAAGCTTGTAAAGTTCAGAGGACTATTGTCAGAAGCTGACAACAGGGCCTGGGCCAAAATCCTTCACTCCTTGAGGCTCAACCCTCACCTGTTGAGAAACGCCAAGTGTTTCACTGAACACAAGGGGAACTTTTAACAGGTATACCTTTATGTAGGTATTTCTTTGTATGTTTATACACATATCCCTATATATGATTATACCCTTGTGTTTATGTACATCCTGAATTGATTTAGATATCCTATAGCTAGGATAGTATGAATGTTGCCATCTCGTGTCTGTAATTAAGTCACTATTGTGATTATAATAGATCCTATTAACTCACTTTGTAAGTGTTAAATTAGTCAATGATTAATCCTTGTCAGAAGTATACCATCTTCCCCAGGACATCATATGTAATGTTATAATTCAGTACCTTCTGCACTTCACACTAAAGGAAAGCTTTGGTTCACTTCTCTTTCCAGAATGCCCAGAGACCTTTTTCTTTTAAATCAGTGTGTACCTGTGTCTCTTTGTGTATCCTTTGTACATGAAATTCCTGTGTAATTGGTAAAAACCCCAAGATTTCCATTCTGAGCACTCAAGCTGCACTCTGAGAAGGGTTAAATTATACCTCTCCATTCCTGGATGGTCTATTGATTATGAGACACTTGTCAAACTACAGTAGCTGTAGTAAAGTATCTGCCTCTGTCAAAAGCATTTGTGTCAAGTGTAATTTCATGGCTTGGAAAGGATGTCTTCTGCAAGACAGAGAAGGTTCATAAATCGGGAGGTTGATAGCCTGGACAGCACTTGCACAAAGCATCCCTATGGTGCAGTGCAGCATGCTCCAGAGAACCTCTCCTGCTTGGGCCAAGAAGTCACCTGGGCAACAGAGGGATGAGGAGATGCCTGAAAAGAAGCAGCATTGCATTTTCCAGTGCTTTATGGCAGTGACATGCTAGTTAACAGATGAAAGTGCCACACGGATCTGTCAGACAGCACTAATACTGGCAGAGCCAGTCCCCACAATTAAGAGACTTCAGTGCTGTGTTGATGCATCTGTCACAACTCATCCAAAGTTACAATCCTCCACTATCACCCAATATCCAGTGTTGTCCATGATGCACAGCATCCATATGTTAATTGCTGGAGCAGTGTTTCATGCCTGTGGAAGAGTGGGACAGGCGCCTGGAAGGTTCCCTGGACTGCCCTGCAAAGGGCATGAGCTCTGTCAGGAATGAAGCAGGCTCTGCTGATGGAGCAGAGCCATCAGAGAAGCCAATTTTGCAGTAAGGGTGGATGATGAACACAAAAGATGAATACAAAAGGGAATGATGGAGGAAAGGGTCAGATACAGCAGATTGTGAGCATAGAACTGGGCAGAGATGAAGGAAGATGTGAGACAAAGGTTGGTTGAAGGAAAAAGGCATGGGAGAAGAAAGAAGGGGAGGTGAGAGGCAAGGGTGATAGAACAGTAAAGTATTACCTTAATGCAATACCCATCAATTAAGTGACAGAAGAAAATGTCAATGCCAAATAAGGCTAAGAAGTGCAAGCATACAAAACAGACTAAAACCTGACAGATCAATTAATTGATCTGGGAACAATCAAGATGCCAGGAAGCAATAATGGGAAAAACCAGCATCAGCACTAAGCACAACTTTGTGGCCAGCCTTCTCTGTTTCTGTGTTCTCTGTGTTTCTGTGCTTGACTCTACCACAGAGTGTTTCTCAGCAAACACATAGATCCTGTTGGAGTCATTTCATATCTGTTTATGTGGTGGTCTTGTCATACACAGATCAAGACTGAAATACTCTCTCCAGGTGGTTTATACATCAAATACAACACCAACAAGTTTTATCTTGGTTCCACCTTGGGTGAAGGACACAAATAGCCCTGGGTGACACTAAACTGGGAGGGTGACTACTCTAATGAATGCCAGAATTTCTGTCCAGAAGTAGCACCTTGTGATGTTCAAGGAGACGAGCAGAACTCTACACAAAGGGTGACATAACTCCATGCATTCAGCCAGACTGGAAAATTCAAGCTAGGCAGGAGCCCCGCTGAGAAGGTCTTGGAGTTCTAGCAGACAATGGGCTGACCATGGGCCAGAAGTATGTTCCCATCACAGATAAGATAAACGAGCTGCACTAGAAGCCACATGTCTAGCAGTGCCAGAAGAGTGATTTCTGCCTTCTCTCTGTTCAGGGCTGGCAAGGCCTCACCAGGATTTGTCTCCAGTGTTAAGTTCTTCAATTTAGGAGAGATGTGGCAAAACAGGAGAGGAATCAGCAAAGACTAAAAAAATGGTTAGGGGCCTGGAGCACAGTGCCTGTGAGGGGAGAGAGCTGGGCTTGGGAAGTCTGGCAAAAAAAAGGAGGCAGGGGGGACATCTACCAAGAGCCTGTGACTGGTAGAAAGACAGTGGCAAACTGAAAAAGGAACTCCTGCAGCATCAGGCAATGAAGTGAAGGACGACAGCCACAGAGTGCAGCTTGGGAGGTTCACACATGAGGAAGGCTTCTCCCCCAGGAAGGTGGTGTCCCCTGGGACACGTATCCAGAGAGGCAGAGATCTTCATCCTTGGAGTGCACAGTGTAAGAAAACTAGTGACTTCCAGCAATAGGGATCTTCCTGTATTTGTGCATGAAAGCCTGAGCTGACATGATGTAGTATTGGCAACAGGCTTCCTCCAGCAGGGAGGCTGGAGGCCACCACAAGCCCCTTCCCACAGGCATGACAAATGTATTGGAAAGACACCTCAGCATTGTACAAAGTAGAGGGAGATCCACAAGTAGTTCTCAACAAGTTTTACTATGTTTTAGTCTCTTGAAATACAATTATTCTTAAGAGTAAGGTATCTTTCCCTTACCCAGTCAAAGCACTTTGCCAGAATTAAGAAAAAAAACCCCAAAACCAAGCAAACAAAAGAAAACAAGAGATCCCCAAAACAGCCCTAACCCCAGACACACTACTAATTCTATGTCCATATTAATCACAGAAGAGGAACACAATGCACAAGCCCATCCCAGCTTGCCAAGTTGCAAATGCTTGTCCAAAATAGCATTTGAAAGTAATCTGCAGTCATTCTCTATAAAAATGCTTCACTGTCAGCTCAACAGCAATGGGAAAGCCTTGATTTAGACTAGTCCACCTCCATTTCCCCACAAATACATTTGATATAGACTAAAATAACTGCTAAGACCTCTCTCTTATTGAGAGAATTTTTCCATGTGTTTTTTGCAGGTAGACATAACTTTTAATTGTGCATCCACCTGGCAAGTTTTTCCATATTCCACATTGTGCCCTTGGTGTAACATTACCAAGTGAGGAAAAGCATTCTTTTTGCTAGAAAGAAGTCTTTTCACCTGAAAAAGCTAAAACATGCCCAGTAGATGCTTCAAAGAATTAACACAGAAAATAGTATGTTTTCCACTCCAGAACATCTCAGTAATGACATTTCAAACTCAACAGAAATAAGCTTAAAAGTAATGCTGAAAGGCACATGGAAAAGCATAAAAAAGATCTGGGAACTTCTTTAGACAAGATGTGCTTCTAAAAATATTACTGAAGGTGAAAGTCCATTTACATTCACTATTACCACATTTGTTTTTGCAGTTAGAACATAGAATCATTTGGGTTGGAAGAGATCTTTAAGGTCATCCAGTCCAATCATTAGCCTAACACTGCCAAGTCCACCACTAAAACACATCCCTGAGTGCCACATCTACAGCTCTTTTAAACACCTCCAGAGATGGTGACTCAGCCACTTTCTTGGGCTGCCTTTTCCAGTGCTTGATAATCCTTTTGGTGAAGTCTTTCTCTCCCAAAGAAACTCCTCCCAATACCAAGGGGCTCTGACTAAACAAGGATTTGAGGACCCTTGTTTCATTACAATATTTTACAATAGAAAGATCTGAAATACTAATAAGCATCTTCTACCTCTCCTTAAAAAAACAGAGAGAGAAAAGCAGTACCTTAGGACATTCAAAGAAAGTGAAGTGAGCTGACAAATGGCTCAGGATTTGTTCTGATCAGCAAGGTTCCACTGGATCACTGCCATGTTGCTTTTCAAGGGTATCAGGATTCAGGTTCATTTCAGCACAGTTCAAGAAAGCCACCAATTCCCAGCAGTAGGGAAAAACAAAGACCACCCAGGCTCAGTTCATAGCAAGTGGACTGAACAGTCTTACTGGTGGTGCTCTCATGGTAATGTTCTCTTCCTCACCTCCACGTTCCCAAGGAAACAATTTGCTTAGGATGGCCCAAATAAGACCAGAAGGTAAGCACAGCCATCTCTCGATGGTCAGTGTAAGCTTACATCAGTGTAAGCTGATGTAAGATTCACCTGTTGTTCTGTGGAGCTACCTCACCTTCACCATATTCCCACCACATTCCTGCATTGGGTGAGTGAGATCAACATCTGCTGAAGACCAGTCCTATCGAAAGGGCTTGTTTTCAGCCAAGAAATGAAATAGAGCAAATGGTTTAAACTTCCCATTTGAAGGACCCTGCTATTAGCTTGGCTCAACTCTGCCACAGAATGACAGTGTGAGAG